AGCTGAGATGTGGCAGCAGCCTGACCTGCTCAGACAGAGCCAGGTGGGAAGGACCCACACTCCCTGGGAATTGCTGAGAGCAGCTGCAGGGCTGAGCTTTAGCACCGCCCACCACTTGGGCACCTGTGGCTGCTCTGCTGGATAGAGCTGGGGGGAACTCACCTTTTCTCCAGAGCTGCTGGGAGAGCTGCTCAGATACCGGCTCAGCTCACAGCTCAGTCCCTTCGTCCAAGCCTCATCCTCCATGGTCTCCAGTGATGCCCTCAGGAACTGTTGGAGAACAGGAGAACTCAATGTTCCCTTGCCCTTTGTCTCTTCCCGTATTCCCAAGTTGCTGCAGCCTTCTGGGGAGAGGTGTCTGGAAAAACAGTCCCCCTCCCAGCTCCCCCGAGCATTCCTCCTTGAGGGGCTCCTTGAGGCAGGCAAGCACTTCTCTGTACTGTACCTCCTGGCAATGCTGTACCTTTAGCAGTCGGTGTTCCCATGCTGCAGAGTCCGGGAAGCTCTCTTCTTTCCCTGCACAGCAATAGGAAGCAAAAGAGCCTTGCTTGGGATCAAGCCACAGAAGAAGAGCGGCTGCAAACCTGGCCTGGCCTGGGCACTCAGCACTAGCAAGCTGGGACCTGCACCCCCTCCACAATGACCTGTCCCTCCCCACAAATGCTGTCCCCGCAGGAACACAGAACTAACTGCTCCAAGACTGCTGTTTGAGGGGACATAAAGGGCCCATCATTGCCCTGGAATGGGCAGATTTCTGGGGGAAAGATCCCCGGGCCTCAGCGCTGTCCCCCTGGACTGGGAACAGCAGCAGAGCTGCATTTTCACTCCACCCCTTCTCTGCCTCCACCCCTCCCTATCCACCAGCACTTACCTTGGACACACTGCAGCAGCAAGGGGATCTCCGCATCCCACATGGCCCCCACAGCTCTGTGGATCCTGCTGTGGAGCTTTTGCAGGAGCAGTAAGGCAGCGGCTTGGAGATTGCTGCCTGCAACAGGGCTCCCTGCCACCACCTGAGCGAGAACAAGGAGAAGCAGGGTCACTTGTGCAGCAAGAGCAGCGGCGGCTTCCCCCAGGAGGGAAGCAGCTTGGCTCTGCCCTGATGGGCAAGGAGCAGCCAACAGCTTTGCCCATGGCCATGCTGCTTCTTCCTCGGGGCTCATGGCACCAGCCTCCGGAGCATCTACTCACCAACAGGCGTGCCAGCAGTGTCTGGGGAGTCAACCATGGGCCTGCAGGGAGAAAGAAGTACTGAGTAAGACTCCAAGGCACGCCATGCCCTGACACACGCACCTTCGCTGTCCCTTCTGGGTGCTAACACAGGTCAGCAGAGCTCACTGGGGG